GGGGCGGACCCACGTGGAGTCAAGTGGGTTCATATGAACCCGCTTCATCGAAAAATAACACTGTATATATAGGTATATTTTTGTTGTTTTCAGACAAGTAAAGGTATAAATATAATTTTGAACCCACTTAAAACAAGTAAAATGCCTAGCCTTTTGGTAAAGAGGGTTCAAATTTTCCTCATGGTCCTAAGTTCGAAACCAGCTAGTCACATATGACCTCTAATGTTTTTTTTTTGAACCCGCTTGATAAAAATCTTGGGTCCGCCACTGGAAAGGACTATAGAGGTTGAGTTGGTTTGTGGGCTCTATGTTTATATTTCTTAAAATGGACAACTAATCAGCCAAAATTAGGCATGTCTTAGCTACAATTTAACAACCTAACTACTACTCTATCCCCACATATTATTCTCTTTTTTGACTTGTCTCACTCTCTCATATGTCTCATTCCACCAACCTTCTTCATTGGTTGTATGTCTTACTCTTACATCTTCTTCTACATCTTAAATCATTCTATCTTCTTTACTAAGCCATTAATATAATTGCTATCTCCTAATATAATTCTCTTCAACCATTCATAGTTTCTTTGATTTGTATTTCTCTTCTTTTTTTCCATTTTGGTGTTATTTTTTTTCTAATATACTTACAAGAAAATATGAAGGATAGATCAATGGAGAAGTTTATGGTGTTTCCATTCTCTTTAGGGTGTGGTTCTGAGTCAAGTGTTGCAGTGACAAAAACCAGCACCAGCCAACCTGCAGCTGAGAACATGAAAAGTTCAGTATTAAGTCAAGTTCCAACAAGTATATTTCTTTTAATTTCTTTGAGTTAATTTGTTTAATAATGTTTTGTACGTTTAGTGAATGGAGTTCCTTGGTTTGGATTGAAAATTACTTCCATGTTAAACTTACTAAATACACATGTGAATCTAAGATTTAGAGTTAGCGAGTACACAGAATAATAGCTATACATTAGCATCACTACTAAAACAACAGGAATTAGCGACAGGTGAATTCCGTAGCTAAACAAAATAATCTGTCACTAATATTATTTAGCGACAAATAAGAAACCGATAATCAAGAACTTTTTTTAGCTACCGACGATTTAACAATAGATTAGCCACGAAATTTGTAGCTAATTCTAATTTTTTATTTTTATTTCTTTGTAGTGCATATGTATACATATATAGTATGAGCAAAAAGCAAAAGGTTCAACAAGAGTGAATAACTGCATATGATTTTATAATATGTATTATTGACATTGTTTATTTGGATGTTATTAAGAAAGACAAGTAGGAGAAGAGAGTTCATCAAAAGTGAAAATAAATGGATTTTGGGGATTTTTGGACAGACGACAATTTTCTCAAGGGGTGCACTCGTTGAAAAGAAGTTTCAAAGGTTTCTCTCAATTATTTGGTAAGTATTGTGTTGATTTAAGCTAATACTTATACTATTAGCTTGTTTATACAACGAGTTAAATTAAAAATGTCACATCGGATTAACATAGGGTAACTCAATGAGTCAAAATATAATCCAACTCAAACATATATTAAATTCGATTCTGAGATTGAAATAATATCGAGTTAAAAGACTTTCACCTTATAATTGTTAACAAATATATTAGATTTCACGTTTCTATTTCACAAAGCTGCCTAATTAAAACGAGGGAAAATTGTGTCATTTTGGGCAAGTGGAGCTACGACTCGTTATTTGTCTGTAAAAATATCAAGGCTAGCCAGTTTTCGGACTGATCATTCAAAAATAGCCAGCGTTTGCAAAGTCATTGAAAGGTAAACACTAATTTGTTGCAACACGAAAAGTTCCAACATAATATACCGGAGATCGATGCACCTGTATATGAACTTCCAGTATATTAAGCTGGAACTCCAACACGCGGAAAGTTCCAGCATAATATACTGGAGATTGGAGCACTTGTGTATGAACTTCTAGCATATTATGCTGGACCGATATATTATACTGGAGTTCCAGCAAAGTATACTGAACTTCCAGCATAATATACTGGAGATTGGAGCACTTGTGTATGAACTTCTAGCATATTATGCTGGACCGATATATTATACTGGAGCTCCAGTATATTATGCTGGAAGTTCAGTATACTTTGCTGGAACTCCAGTATAATATATTGGAGTTCCAGTATACTTATGCTGGATTATACTGGAGTTCCATTGTATTATACTGAAATTTCAGTATATTATGCTAGAGTATTTTCCGGATTTTGAACAGTATTTTTGTTTAGATTTATCTTTACATGAAAAATGGCTAAATTTCGATTATTTTTGAAACTGTGGCTATTTTTGAATGACCACTTGTAAATCTGACTATTTTTTATTTTCTCCCTATTTGTCTCATCTTGACTCAATCCATTTTGGTCCAAGCGAACTTTAAACGAATTAATTATGAACCATAATTTGATCCGTTTTGGCCCACTCAAACCTGACCCGACTTGCGAATGTGTTGTTTTTTTTTCTTCTGCAGTGTACAAAGAAGAGATTGAAGAAATGGAAATGGAGATGAAAATAGGGAATCCAACAGATGTGAAACATGTAACACACATAGGATATGATGGATCCACAAAAATAATTAATCCTGTCAAAGGCTGGGATAATTCAAAAGCACCTGAATTACTTTCTTTTCCTAGTTCTATCTCCATTAAACAATTTGAGCTTGCTATGGCTTCCCAAGCTGGTGGTTCCTCTAGGTTTTAGTAGCAATATATTTGCTCTACCTTTTTCTTCCTTTTTTTTAATGTAAGTTTCTTATTTCTTTTTGTTCATTCCATGTTCTTCATTGTCATTTTTTAAGATTATTTTCTTTATTTAAAAGGGGAGCATGGCATAACTGGTAATATTGGCCATGTAATCAGGAGGTCACAGGTTCGATCCGTGAAACAGTCTCTTGCAGAAATGCAAGGTAAGGTTGCGTATAATAGACTCTTCAGTGGTAAGGTCCTTCTCCAGAGCCCACGCATAGCGAGAGTTTAGTGCACTGGACTGCCTTTTTTTTTTAAGATTATATTTCTTTCTTGAGTGTGAAGATTTTTTTTGTGTGTGTTATAAATGGAATTGGTGTGTGCAACTTAACTATGTAGACCACCAGGTTAAGGTGGGATGGATAGGATCTTTCCCCTCTTAATAAGAGTGTAAGGTTCGAGCTCTGGATAAGCAGTGACTGCTAGAATAAAACAAAGTAATTTTACTTACGATATGAGTAATACGTATGATTAAGAAACTACTTTTATTGTTCTCCGTCCAATTCAGAGGATTATGGAAAATACTTCAGCTTTTCTTGTTTATTAGATATACAACATGTGGGTCGAATCTAAAATTTTAAGTTTATTGGTTCGTATAAAAGTCTCAAGTTTATTGAGAGAAGTACATACATATACTAAGCAACACACTGTGTATCTAATTATTCCATGAAGTAGTTAAGTAGTTAGTGGTTAGTGGGCCAGTTCATTGCCAGCTGGATTTTCTTTCCTCCTCTTGCTTATAAATAGTCATTGTACAGATACCCAGATACTAGTGTGCAATTGTAGAAAAGATGCAATTCATCATTATTTCTAGAATCTTCTCTCCCCTGCTCCATGTCTCTCGTCTGAGCAGCGGTTGATTTCAATGTCCTCTTCAAGTTTTGTCATGGTATCAGAGCGTCGGCTCAAGTTCTCGATCCAATTCGTCGTCAATTCTATTTAGTTCGATTCTTCTCCGATCGGTTTCTCTTTGAATATCATCTCCTCTCAATATCTCCTCTCTGTTCGATTTAGGGTTTTTCAGATCGCGCCTTGATTTTGGCAATCTCTCTGAAATTGAGTTTCCCTGATAGCTGAATTCTCAACTGGAATTTGCATTTTTGTATCATCGACTGTTTGAATTATGGCCAGAGAAGAAGAAGTGGCAGATTCAACTAATACTTCGCTGAGCTTGACCAGTCCACTCTACATGCATCCATCGGAGAATGCAGGAACTACTCTAGTGCCGGTTCCCTTTGATAGCTATGGGTACAGATCGTGGAGAAGAGGTGTATTAAGAGTTTTTTCTGTGAAGAATAAGGTAGGATTCATTAATGGAAAATGTAAAAAGCCAGATGCAAATGATGCTCTCTTCGATCAGTGGGAACGATGAGATGATATGGTGACCTCGTGTCACGACCTAAAATTTTTACCTTCGGGACTGTGATGACGCCTAACATTTCACTTGCTAGGCAAGCCAACGTTAGAGAATTCTCAAGTCAACTTTAGCCAATTTTAATAACAGAAATAATTAAGCTTAAATGAAACTAAATCTGAGTTTGTGGAATATTATAAAACCCATAATATCTGATACATTTAGGATCTGGAGTCACGACTCACAAGCTACTATGATTAACTACAAACAGAGCCTAAAAAGGAAATACACCATTTTGAAGGAAAAGAAACAGTAAAATAGAAAAACTAGGGAGAGACTCCAGGGTCTACGGACGCCAGTAGGTCTACCTTGGGTCTCCTATCAGTCAATCTAGCCGCTAACTTCACGATCAACTCGGACCAGTACCAAAATCTGCACAGGAAATGCAAAATGCATTACCAGTACAACCGATCCCATGTATTGGTAAGTGTCGATCCTAACCTCAACGAAGTAGTGACGAGGCTATGACAGGACACCCGCATAATAAACCTGTGCAATTTAACGGCATATGTACAAAATAACAACAAATAGAAGCTAGAAAAGTAATATTGGGAGGGGGACATGCTGAAGGGGTCACAAGATAAAGAACCACAGCAGTAATAAGAACTTAATCAACCAATATACCTTGAACCAATAAGCACAAGTAAACACAGTAAAGGAAAATGCACGGCATCACCCTTCGTGCTTTTACTCTCAACCTCACCATGTAATCAATAAAAACGGCATGACATCACCCTTCATGCATTAACTCTCATAACATGGCACAACATCATCCTTCGTGCATTAACACTTACAATATGGCACATCATCACCCTTCGTGCTTTTATTCTCTGATATCATGGCATGACATCACCCTTCGTGCATTAGCACTCTCCCTTACCATAAGCAATGAACAAATGAAAACAAGGAGATAGAAATAACAAGAACAAGTCTTACTTCAATATTTGGTTCCACAATACCAACCTCAACCTTAAAATCAATACTCAATTATCACTAAAAGACCCATAAACATGATAATAACGATCAACTTATATATTAGTCTAAACATGGATAACATGATCAAAGAAAGTAATAATTACAAGAAATCAAGTCCCACCCGCATGCTTTAACCCGAAAATAAAACATAGGTACTTGTCACCTCACCTATACATTGTACCCAACATCTAAACACATAACAAATAGACAAATAAGTCATAATCCCTCAAGTTAAGTCTCTCCAAGAACCAAACTCAAGCTCAACCACTACTTTGCCTTTCAAGCAAGCCTCTGAACCAATAGAATCTAGCAATTTACCAACCAAATGATTCAATTAAGCCTTAGGAACTACCCATGATTGTACAAAATTCAATTTAGGTTATTATTAAAAACGTCAACACCTGGGCCCACTTGGTCCAAACCGAAATTCAGACCAAACCCCGATTACCCATTCACCCCCGAGCCCGGTTATGTGATTTGTTTTGAAATCCGACCTCAATTTGATGTCTAAATTCCATCATTTACCAAATCCCAAATTTCTACCCAAAAACCCCAATTTCCACCATGAAAACTCTAGATTTTAGGTTGAAATCCTAGGAAATTAGTGAAAGATTGAAAGAAACTAGTTTAGAATCACTTACCAATGATTTGGGGAAGAAACCTTCTTTAGAAAATCGCCTCTAGGGTTTTAGGTTTTGAAAATTTGAAGAATGAACCAAAAATCCTGTCTAAGTCATTTTTTATTAGTTGCAGGTGTCGCATTTGCGACCTAGGGTTCGCAAATGCGAGCCCCACAAATGCAAAGATTCCAATGCAAATACGGAGATCATCACACCCCTGCTATCTTCACAAATGCAAAGAATGGTTCACAACTGCGAACTCTGATGCATTTGCAAATGCGACCCAATGATCGCATTTGGGACCACTGCCTACCCAACACCTACTTCGCAAGTGCGAAGTTTTGTTTGCAAATGCGAACTCTAGCCTCCCCAACCACTCTTCACAAATGCGATGCGTGGATCGCAAATGCGAATCCAATAGTGGTCGCAAATGTGATGATTGACCTTGCAAATGCGAGGTCTGAGGCTTGCAACAAAAATTTGAAATAGCAGTTGGCTTGCAACAAAAAGTGCACACAAGTCTAAAAATATCATACGAACTTGCTCGCGCGATCAAATCGCCAAAATAACAGCTAGAACTACGAATTGAACACCAAATCAAATAAAATTTTCAAGAAAACTTTGAAACTTCTGTTTTCACAACCGGACGTCCGAATTATGTCAAACCAACTTCGTTTTTACCAAATTTCACAGACAAGTCATAATTATGGTATTGGACCTATACCGGATTTTGGAACTAAAATATGAACCCGATATCCAAAAAGTCAACTATGGGTCAAACATTTCAAATTCGTTAAACTTTTAACTTTCAAATTTCAACAAAGTCCGATATATCGGGCTAGGGACTTCCGAATCTGATTCTGGGTGTACGCCCAAGTCCGAAATCATAATACGGACCTAATAAGACCGTCAAAACATGAATTCGGGTCCGTTTATAAAAAATGTTGATCGAAGTCAAGTCAAATGAAATTTTTAGGCAGGAATTCTTATTTTTATTAGTTTTAACATAAAAGCTTTCCGGAAAAATGCCTGGACTGTGCAAACAAATCGATGAGGGATAAAATGAGGTGTTTTAAAGCTCAAAAGCATAAAATTGAGTTCTAAGACATAAGATAACTTTTCGCGTCGTCACATTCTCCACCTCTAAAATAACCTTTCATCCTCGAAAGGACATAGAAAAGTACCTGGGCTGGTGAAAAGGTGGGGATATCTACTCCGCATGTCCGACTCGAACTCCCAAGTAGCTACCTCGGCAGGCTGACCTCTCCACTGCACTCAAACTGAAGGGTAAATCTTCGATCTCAACTGACAAACTTGCCAGGCTAAAATAGCCACCGACTCCTCCTTATAAGTCAAATTATTGTCCAACTGGACAGAGCTAAAATCTAACACGTGGGACGGATCACCGTGATACTTCCGGAGAATGGACACATGGAATACAGGATGAACTGCTGACAAACTAGGTGGCAATGCGAGCCTATAAGCCACTTCACCCACTCTCTGAAGGATCTCAAAAGGTCTGATATACCTAGGGCTCAGCTTGCCCTTCTTCCAAACCTCATTACACTCTTCATGGGTGACACACAGAGTAACACTCTCTCTCCGACCATGAATGCAATATCACGAACCTTACGGTCGACATAACTTTCTGCCTGGACTAAGCTGTGCAAAGTCTATCCTGAATAATCTTGACCTTATCCAAGACATCCTGTACCAAATCTATACCCAATAACCGAGCCTCCCCTGGCTCAAACCATCTAACCGACGATCGACACTGGCTACCATATAATGCGCCTCAAAGGGAGCCATTTGGATGCTCGACTAATACATGTTATTGTATGCAAACTCCATGAGTGGCAAGAACTGATCCCAAGAGCCTCCGAAGTCAATAACACAAGCGTGGAGCATATCCTCCAATATCTTAATAGTGTGCTCAGACTGTTCGTCCATCCGAGGATGAAATACTATGCTCAACTCAACCTGCATGCCTAAATCACGTTGTACTGCCCTCTAGAAATGCAAGGTGAACTACCTAACTCGATCAGAAATGATAGACACATGGCACACCATGAAGACAGATGATCTCACGGATATAAATCTCTGCCAACCGCTCTGAAGAATAGGTAACTGCCACAGGAATGAAATGCGCTGACTTGGTCAGCCTATCCATAATAACCCACACTGCATCGAACTTTCTCTGAGTCCGTGTGAGTCCAACAACGAAATCCATGGTGATACGCTCCCTTTTCCACTCAGGAATCTCTATGTTCTGAAGCAAGCCACCAGGTCTCTGAAGCTCATACTTCACTTGCTGACAATTTAGACACTGAGCTACATATGCAACTATATCCTTCTTCATCATCCTCCACCAATAATGTTGTCGCAAGTCCTGATACATCTTGGCGGTGCCCGGATAAATAGAATACCAGAAACTATGGGCC